GAGCCAACCAAGTATTATGCTTGTGAACGTTGTCTTGTTCGAGGACCTTCTCTGGTGAGCACTTCCAAGAATATGAAATGCAAATGTGGGTGGGATTTTACGCGCCTCTCTTTGGACCCTTGCAAATCGCCCTTATGCAGTCCTCTGTTAAGTGAATCCGATAAAAACGCGAGTGGTGATGCTGGGGGTAATAATTGAAATGCATTTTATATTTTTTGTTATCCTTATTAAACAAACCATACTTGATTCGATTATTACTATTACTTCTTTCCTACCTACTCCAAAATGCAGATAATACATGGGAAGGCTATGTAAAGGAGACTGCATCTTTTATTATTTCTGATGATCTAGCTGTAACTCTTGCTGATTTCAATACAACATTGTGTCTGCTGAAGAATCTCCGATGTGAAGGTCCACTGGAGGAATCCACTATGGTTCTTAGTTCAAATGAGGTTAAGTTCTGAAAACGTATTATGTTTTTTTTTCTTTGCATCACATCACCTGATGCTTTAATTTATTATATTTTCGAAGATTTTGGACCTACTCAAGTGCTTGTTGATCTCCAAGACGGCACTCACAGATTCATTGTTAAGGAAGGAGCACAACCTCGTGCATTCTGAAACCTCGTTCAAGATAACTGATGAGAGACAAGGCAGAGAGAGCAATGGGACGATGAAGATGAAGGTATTGGTGTCAAAATCGAAGTCCAAGATATTGTTTGCTCAGGTTGAGGAAGATTTCATGGACCAGCTTCTTAGTTTCTTGACATTCCCAGTAGGAGCAGTAGAAAGAGTTTTAGAAGGAAACTCTGGGATGGTGTGTGTCGACAAATTATATAACAGTTTGTTCAATTTTGATTCAACCATAGACTTGAGATGAGAGAAGCTGAAAAACGTGTTCGCCAACCTCATGATAGCCCCATATTTTAATGTTGATAACCAGATGGCACCTATCGATGAACTAAAATATCCGTCTGAGTTAAGTGTCTGTTCTAACGAGCATGCTATTGGTCCATATTATTTGACTGCTGATGCAAGTTTGTATCTCCGTGTTGTGAGAAGAGTAAGAATGTGTGACCCTAAGCCTCCAATAGTGGAGGGGAAATCAAGCAATGGATATGCAAAGAGCAGAACCAAGTTCATGGTTGCCGATGACCTGTCTGTGAAACCCTTTTCATCTCACCATGTTCTATCATCCTTATTAACTGAATTGAAGGTGCCTCACCATGACTTGGAAGAAAGAACAATCCGCATTGGGGTACAAGAGGTACGTATCTTCTAACCTTTAGACACAACAAATGAGATGCCAATTCTGTTTGGAACGACTGAGATGCAAATTCTGTTTGGAACGAAAAAACAAGAATTTATATGGTTTGGGTTTGTTTTCCCTTGAATATGATCAAATTTATTTGCATACAAATGCAGGCTGTGAGCATCCTTAAAGCTTCCATGGTTTCAACATCAGCTTTGACAATTGGCCTGAAGGAATTTTATCAAATAATATTAAAGAAGAGGGCGAAACAAAGACGCGAAGCAGTGGCTAGTGCTTCAATTTCTCGATTCTCTCTTGTACTTCTGTCTTCTTGTTTTGAAGAAGTGTGATGGCTTATGGTAGAATAAATAATTATATAATGGTGGTTTGGTGCTCAACGTATTTGCTTTATCTAGTAATTCTCCTTCACTTTCCTATCAAGTACAGAATTTGCAACCCCCCATTATAGATCAAAAGAATTTCTAAAATTTTCATAAAATAGGTGGACGATTTTTTTTTCTCCCTTCCAGGTGATGGGGAGCCATTTCCTTCTATGAATTTCATCCATAATCACATGGCTTAACTTTTCCATACATAGAGTGAAAATATATGGAGAAATCAGATCCCCTTTCCCCATTCCTATGTACAACTATGTACAACTTCTGGTTCTTATCACATAATCAATTTGAAAAAAATTAAGAAAATTAATTAAGTTAGTTAATTATAATAAATTTGTGTTGTCTTCTCTAAATTATCCTATTTAATCATGTACATTAAAAATATCTTTTAGTGAGAACACCTTGCAATTAATGAGAATATTTTAGAGAAAATATTATAAATTTGAGAGACAAAGTGGATCGATATCTTATATTTAAAATCAAATTCAATCTTTAACTAGCTTTTATATTTAACCATTGTACTATGGAAATTAATTTCAACCATCGTTTAATGCTAATCCAAAGAAGTTCTTTCAAAATTTTAGTGTTGTTCAAGAAACGATAACTAACTTAACTAATTTTTATAATATACTTAAATTAGTCAACCGGTTTTTATTTTAAGGAACAGAGGTAATATATCATAATTTATTTCCTGTTTTAGGTGATTTTATTTTTCTTCAATTATTGTAATTACCAAAGAAGAGCTAAAGAGGCGAATATACTTAATTAGCAAGAACATTTTAGGAAAGCAACACCTATTTATTAAAAATAACTGACTTAATTTATTTCTTATTTATTTAAATAAAGCCGACCTAGAAGAATCAATTTCTTCAAAACTTGAGAAAGCAAATTCTCTTTGGCAAAGAAAGAAAAAGAAAAAGCAAATTCTCTAACAAAAAGGGGTCAAAAAAGAAAAAGAAAAAGAAAAAGGAAAGGAAAGGAAGGAAGAAAAAGATAAAAAAGTTAAAAAAAAAAAAGTTGAAAGCAAATTTCAAGACTTTATTTTTAAGGAATTATGATTACTGCGATCTGTGGTCTGCCGAAGGAAATACTCCTATTACTGATTATAGCTACCCAAACATGATCATATTAAAATAAAATTATAAAAAATGATAATATTGAAATATACGGGGATTACTATGGGAAGACTAATTTAATAATTTTCACTTGTAAAGATAGTAAGAAGTTGAAGCAAGCTGGATCATACTTCTCATTTTTTTTATTTCAAAATTAACTACTCTCTCCGGCCTTTTCTATTAAATCATATTAACTACCTTTTTAAGGATTAAGGAAACTAATTAAATTCACTAAATATTAAAAAAATTTGCAACTTTTTAAACTTAACCTTTAATAGTTATAGCTTAAAAAGCCACCTTCTCGTCAATCAACAAGACAAAAGATTTTCTTAAAACTGGAATAAAGTGAAGGTTGATCCCTTACGTTCGTTTGATGAGAAAATCAATTTCAATTGACGCAAAAATATTTTTACTGTACCAAACTAAGAGTAAACTACTCTTTACTCTCCCACAAAATGAAACATAATGTGTTCACAACATATAGTTGTTCTAAAAGGTTTCAGCACAATGCCTATGGAATTATTAACATCTAGTTGCCTTTCTCAGAATCAATTATTATTAGGATAAGGTATTTAAGTATTCTGAAATATTTAAGAATGAGCATCTAGCACCTAAAATTTTTTCTGACTCTTATATACTCTAAAAATATTATTTCATGGTATTTCTATCTTGAACTGTTATCCACCGTTAATTTTGACTGTTATGGACCTCAGTCATATTGCATAATTTAACAATCAAATTAAATAGCAGATAACAGCTAACGTATTTTGGCTACGAAAATAAACTTTTTGAGCATATAAAAGCAAAAGAAATCCACATGAATACTTCTGAAGTATTTAAGCACTTTATCCTATTATTATTTACTTTATAATATGTAGTATAACATATTTCTAGCAGAAAAAAGAAAGTAGTGAAATATATGAAAAAATTTAATATTCAATATATACGGTCCAATTTTTTGGCCGAAAAAATATATACGGTCCAATGGGGTTCAGATATTACCATATGCTGCGCTGATAGGCATAGGATATGAGCTGTGGCCAAAAAAAGGTGAAGGATATTTGCTAGTGACGTTTTCTTTTGAATTTAGGGTCTAATTTTTAAAAAAGTTAATATAATTTTTAGTTTATCAAGTTTATCTTTATTTTAATTTTAATCATTTAAATTTTAAACTATAGGTTTTAGTCTTTCAAAAGGGAGAATGGTGTAAGTTTGTATTGAATTATATGTATCAATATTTTAAATGAAAAGAAACTTAAAGGAACAAAAACTGTGGTCAGGGACTAAACCAAAATGAAGACAAACTTAACAGACTGCAAATTATATTAACTTTTTTTAAAACAAAAATGTAAGATGATTTTCTCACTAATATAACTATGGTTATATTAATAAAATTCTAAATAAATATGACGATGGGTGATTTTTATGTCTTGTAATATTTGCGAGCACAACTTAAAAAATGATTTATATATTTTAAAAATTAAATATCAATATGTGATAAAAAGATTTATATTATACTAAATATATAGTATCGTAATTTAATATTATTCATGTTTCAGGTAATTTTAATTTTCATCGATTATTACGAGTGCATACTTTACTTGATTGCAACCCCTCAGAAAAAGGCATTTAACAAAAAATCTTACCTTAGCAATGAAGGCAAGAATCTTTTGACTTCCAAAAGAGTGCAGGCATTTACTTATCGAGTAAGCCTAATTGAAAGTTGAAGGAGCAGGAGTCAGTCACAAAGCCTTGGTCACTTCATCTGTTTCCAATAATTCAAGAGCCCTTGTTCATACCCATAACCTCCATAACGAGAGCCACTCTCCAATACAGGTTCTGTATATCTTCTTGTGTGCTGTACACACACACGCACACCAAATTCAAATAGGTTACGTCCTCGTTACAGCTTCTGAAGCATTTGCTGGATCTGGTGGGTTAATAATATTGCTCCCATGGCTTCAACTGCTATACCGGGAGAAATTTCATTGAGAGTTGTTGTGGACAAAGAGCAAAACAGAGTGCTCTATGCTGAAGCAGGGAAGGATTTTGTGGATATTCTTTTAAGCTTCTTGACACTGCCACTGGGAACTATTGCGAGACTTGTTAGTAAGGATTCAACCACGAAGCCTTGTCGATTCGGATGCATAAGCTCACTCTATGAAAGTGTGGGGAATCTGGACCCTATGTATTTGAATTCAGAGACATGCAAACAAATGCTGCTTCAGCCAAGGAACTCAATGGAATGTTATAATCGAAACCTCAAACTCAACATTGATGACACTGAGCCAACCAAGTATAACGTTTGTCGAGGTTGTCGTGCTGTAGAAGATGGTTCTCTGGTGAGCACTTCCAAGGATATGAAATGCAAATGCGGGCAGGATTTTACGCGCATCTTTTTGGACCCTTGCAAATCGCTCCTATGCAGTCCTCTGTTAAGTGGATCTGATAAAAACACGAGTGGCGATGCTGGGGGTAATAATTGCAATGCATTTTATATTTTTTGTTATCCTTATTAAACAAACCACATTTGATTCGATTATTACTATTACTTCTTTCATAACTACTCCAAAATACAGATAATACATGGGAAGGCTATGTAAAGGAGACTGCATCTTTTATTATTTCTGATGATCTAGCGGTAATTCCTGCTGATTTCAACACAACATTGTGTCTGCTAAAGAATCTTCGCTTTGAAGGTCCACCGGAGGAATCCACTATGGTTCTCAGTTCAAATGAGGTTAAGTTCTAGAAACATATTATGTTTTATTTTGTTTGTATCACATCACCTGATGCTTTAATTTATTATGTTTTCGAAGATTTTGGACCTACTCAAGTGCTTGTTGATCTCCAAGACGGCACTCACAGATACATTGTTAAGGAAGGAGCACAGCCTCGTGCATTCAGAAACCTCGTCCAAGATATTTGATGAGAGACAAGGTAGAAAGAGCACTGGGACGATGGAGATAAAGCTATTGATGTCAAAATCGAAGTCCAAGATATTTTTTGCTCAGGTTGAGGAAGATTTCATGGACCAGCTTCTTAGTTTCTTGACATTCCCAGTAGGAGCAGTAGAAAGAGTTTTAGAAGGAAACTCTGGGGTGGTGTGTGTCGACAAATTATATAACAGTTTGTTCAATTTTGATTCAACCGTAGACATGAAGTCAGAGAATCTAAAACACGTGTTTGCCAACCTCATGATAGCCCCATATTTTAATGTCAATAACCAGATGTTACCTATCGATGAACTGAAGTATCCGTCCGAGTTAGGTATTTGTTTTAACAAGGATGGTAGTGGTCGATATTATTTGACTGCTGATGCAAGTTTGTATGTCCATGTTTGGAGAAGAGTAAGAATGTGCGACCCTAAGTCTCCAATAGCGGAGGAGAAATCAGGCAATGGATATGCAAAGAGCGGAATCAAGTTCATGGTTGCCGATGACTTGTCTGTGAAACCCTTTTCATCTCACCATGTTCTATCATCCTTATTAACTGAATTGAAGGTGCCTCACCATGACTTGGAAGAAAGAACAATCCGCATTGGGGCACAAGAGGTACGCATCTTCTAACCTTTAGACACAACAAATGAGATGCCAATTCTGTTTGGAACGAATGAGATGCAAATTCTGTTTGGAACGAAAAAGCAAGAAGTTATATGGTTTGGGTTTGTTTTCCCTTGAATATGATCGGGTTTATTTGCATGCTTGTTGCAATTTATTTTTGCCTTCTGTATCCGGCTCATGCATACAAGTGCAGGTTGTGAGCATCCTTGAAGCTTCCATGGTTTCAACATCAGCTTTGACAATTGGCCTGAGGGAATTTTTATCAAACAATATTAAAGATGGAAAGCAGAAACATAACGGTTGGCTAAATAGAAGCCTGAGAGCAACGCCCTTCAGTTTCTTGACTTGTTTTCAGACTTTTGCCTTGTTGTTTTGTTTTGGAGAAGTGTGATGGCTTGTGATTGAATCAGTAATTGTATAATGGTGCTTTACTGCTGTTAGGCAAGTCCTCTTATGCACATTGTCCATAGTACTTTGGATAGGCTGGAAAGTAGAGTTGGCGTCTAATTTCCCTTTGGACTTGGGCTTGTCAGATGTTTTATTTTCGTTGCCCACTTTAGATTTTCCTGTATTTCCCCTCTTCGACCCTACTTGGACCCACACGGACTTACCATTGGAAATATCCTTCCCAGAGTTTCGGCTCTGTGGTTGACCATCACCCAAAGATTGCTCTTTTATTTTGTGTTGTGATACTGTTTTCTGTATTCCTGATCTTCCGTCATCTCTCCCCTTCATCCCGCTCTGATTGCTTGCAATATTATCCTGTTCAAATCCCATCATATCCGGAATTTTAACTCCCCCTCGGAAATCCCGACTAATCAGCATCTGAGGGCCCAAGTGAGGGTCGGGAGTCACCGGCGAGTTCTTGGGCCGGGGGTTAGGGTGCTAGTACCAGTACCTTCTTTCCTTCAGCCGTGGGTGTATGTGGGTGTAATTGGGATAGTTGAGGTTGTGTACTGTAAAGGGACACAAATGATTATTTTGTTATAAGATTAATTGAAATCCATATTTATTTTGTTAACTTTCGAGCATGCTAAAAAAAATTTTGAAATATATTTATTTTTATATTATGTATTAAATTAAAAAATGATAACACTCACATAATTGAAACTGAATTAAAGAGTTAATTATTTTTGTACAAATTTTCTCTTCATAACAACTCTTGATTTAAAGGGGAGATGGAGAATACCAAGAAGATAATTAAAGATTTAATATGATAATATTTTAACTAGACGTAATCTGAAAACTTTTAATAATCTAAACTATTTAATAATTTTTATATAATTTTAATTGTAATATTAAACTATAATTATTCGAAAAAGGAATAGTTGAGGGTTGCGCGTTAGGCGGAGCCAATCTGAATTCTAAAAGAGCGTAGCCTCATTGGCAAATTAAATTTCTTCGTTCTCAATGAGAGTGCAGAATAATGGCATTTGTTTGGGACAAAAACGTTTAAAGGCCTGGTTGGAACATAAGCCCACTAAAAGTCTACTTCTAGGGCATGCATAAGGTAGATCCTCTTCCTCTCTTTTTTTGGGTTTTAATTAGTCCATCACACTATCTTCTAATAAATCTCCAACTTTTTAGACAAATTATCATTTTGTGTTGTGTTAGACAATCTAAAAAGATATGACTATATTCACATAAATGAAGAGCCATACGTAATAAACATATTTTATATATCATAACCTAATCAGAAGACGCGTCTTCATTGGTATAATTTATAGTTTTTATTATAAGCAGTTCTATTGAATTTTAATAATTATTACATTTGATTCTTAATATAAGAGTTAGTTGACTAATTTGAATAGATAAAAAATTTAGTTAAGTTAGTTATTCGTAATGAATAGGTGTTGTTATTCTTAAAATATTCTTACTAATCAAGTGTGTTAGCTAGAACTATCATTATTATAAATATTATTTTGAAAAAAATAGATAAATATAGAAGACAAAAAGAATTGAGATATTATATTTAAAACCAAAATAAAAATTAAATGAATTTTTATATTAAAGATAAAGATAACATTTTATATATCAATGTACATTTTTTGTCGGTGTATACCAATGTACAGTTTTAAAATTGCTGATCAACAATGATATAAAGGTTTTTTAAAAAAAAAAAAAAACAACAATGGTATCGAGAAAAACCCGACCAATCTAATCCAAATCAAGTCACAATAGGAAAACAACGTAAAATACAATATCATTAAGAATTTAAAAAAATGGTAACAATAATTTTAAATGATAAATATATTTTGAATTTTGATTCCGAGCGAGCGTCGTCTCCAATGTGAAGTTCGCTCTCTCCTCCTCCACTATTCAAAAAGCTTCACGGTCCCCTTGGCTTCTCTGCAAATCCGAAATGTCGATCGCCATAGTAGACCACGCCCTTCCCTACGACACTCACAATCTCTACGATGTTTCCTTCTACACTCACAACATTCACACACTGCTCACTTCTTCCCCTTCCATGGTCGATTCCTGGCTCTCCGAAACCCGCAACCTCTATTCCCTTCCCCAACCTCTTCTCGTCGGCCTAGACGTCGAATGGCGCCCGAACTTCCACCGCAATATGGAGAATCCGGTCGCCACATTACAACTCTGCGTCGGCCCTCGATGCCTCATATTCCAAATCCTTCACGCCCCAAACATCCCCCAATCCCTGATCAATTTTCTGGCAAACGCGAATCACACTTTCGTGGGCGTTGGGATCGAAGAGGATGTGGAGAAACTCGTGTGCGACTACGAACTGAGTGTGGCCACATTCGTTGATCTGCGCGATCTGGCGTTTGACAAGCTGGGGGATAATGAACTGAAGAAATCGGGGCTCAAGACCCTGGCTCTGCGTGTTCTTGGGAAGGAAATTGAGAAGCCAAAGAGTATCAGTAGAAGCAGATGGGACAATCTGTGGCTTACTCCTGAGCAGGTAAAATACGCCTGCATCGATGCCTTTATTTCTTTTGAAGTTGCAAGGCTTTTGTATTCTGGCCAACTCTAGGCGTGGGGATTGCTTGGGATTCAGAACTCGGTACAATTCGGGGATAAGTTAATTCTGGTGTGATGTGTGGTTCTGTTAAATGTGGATTTCAATGGAGTTTGTTTGTATTTTGATGAAACTTTTCTATGGTTCATGAAGTGACTTTACCAATAACATGTCTCGTGTGTGGAGTATTTCATAATTCATGGTTCTCAGACAATAATAGGATTTTGGAGGATCCAAGGTTGGTAGACGCAGTATATATAACTGATGTCTTGTTTTGCCAAGGCATGCGTTTGAATTCTCTTCTTTTGTTGATGTTGTTTTTTTTTCTTTTCTTACAAGAAGGGCTTCACACACACGCGCGCCCAACTAAGTTTGAACCTAGGAGGTGCTCACAAGTGATGAATGATTTGTAAATATCTTGTAAGTATTTTTTTAAGTTTTGAATTTTGTTCTATTTATGTTTTTTTTTAAAAGACAAGTAAGAGTGATCAAGATCATTTCATAAGAAATTTGGTTTCCATAAGTAAATAATTAGCAGCTTAGGCTTCTTCTGAAAGCCATTTCTTGATCTCTTTTCAATAGTTTGTGTCCTTTGAAAGAACTTCTTTTTTCTGTGCGAACTAAAAATATTAAAAAATAATATTCTTCCAGGTCTAAATATAAAATTATTTTGTAGTGTAATTTATATTACAAAATAAATCTTACATTTAAGACTGAAGGAATATAAATTCTTTAAACCTAATCATATTTGAGCAACATAAAAATTTTAATCCCGCAAGGAATCGAAGTCTCAATCCTCCTTCGCAGACCAATATGTAGTAATATTTACTCTTTTCTTGAGCACAGTCACATGATGTTTTATGATTGTAATCGACCCAGAGAAACCAATTTCTTCAAAACTTGAAAGCAAATTCTTCAGCAAAAAGGGCGAGGAAAAGGAAAAGAAACAAGATGAAAAGGTTAAAAAGGAAAAAAAAAACACCTTGAAAGCAAATTCCAAGACCTCATTTTTAAGAAATTATTATTAGTACAGGTGGAAATATTCCTCTGACTGATTATAGCTACCCAAACATGGTCATTTTAAAATAAAATTATAAAAAAACTGATGATACTGAAATATACGGTGATTACTATGGGAAGGCTAATTTTTGTTTCTAAAAATGATAAGAAATTGAAGTAAGCTGGATTATATATTGTTCTGCTTCTCATTTTTTGTATTTCAAACTTAATTACTCTCTTCGGTCTTTTCTATTAAATCATATTAACTACCTTTCTGAGGATTAAGGAAATTAATTAAAATTAGCTAAATATTAAAAAAATTTAACTTTTTAAATTTAACCTTCGATGGTTAAAGCTTATTGGGGGAAAGAACGAAAAAAGCCACCTTCTCATCAGTAATCAACAAGACAAAGGATTTTCTTAAACTGGAATAAAGTGAAGATTGATCTCCTGAGATCATTTGAGAAGAAAATTGATTTCAATTAATGCATGAATATTTTTACTGTACTAGTTAATTCTGGTGCCATGTGGGGTTGTGCTAAATGTGGATTTCATTGGAGTTTGTTTGTATTTAGATGAAACTTTTCTATCCATGATTCCTGAAGTGACTTTACCAATAACATGTGTCGTGTGTTACTTGGTGTATTTCATAATGGGTGGTTACGTTGGTATATGCAGTATTGATGTCTCGTTAAGGCATGCTTTTGAATTCTTTTCTTTTGTTGTTGTTGATGTTTTTTTAAATCACATGTGCGCTTTTTTTTTTGTCCTTTTCTCACAAGAAGGGCTTCACATATCATACACACATCCAACTATAAGTTGAACCTGCGAGTTACTCCTCTGATCCTATTTATAAAGTACTTCCAGCACGTTTCATACAGACCAAGAAAATCTTAAATTTCATTAATTCTCATTTAAAATTTAATAAATTTTTAACTTTATCCCTATTTAATATAAATTATACCTTATATAAACAAAGTCAACACAATAATAAATGAGAGATAAAATTGTACATCCATACAAAAAAAATTTCTCAGTACCTTATAAATAGAATAAAAAAACACCTTCCCTCTCTGCCTTATAAATAGGATCAGAGGAGTACTCACAAGTGATGAATAATTTGTAAATATTTTGTAAGTAGTTTTTGTTTTCTTCATGTCTTTTTTAAGACAATGTAAGAGGGATCAAGATCATTTGATAGGAAATTTAGTTTCAATAAGTACTCCTCCGGTCCTTAATATAAGACCTATTTAACTAGTTATAAAAAATATGACATGTTTTTCCTAAAATACCATAATCATCTTTCTTAATATTTTCCCTCCATGTCCTACTTAATTATGGTTGAGGGAATATGAAAAAGAAGTAATTTAGAAAAAATTAATAAATAAATTTTATATTTAGGATCAAGATCAACTTAATAATTAGGTTCTATATTAAGAACTAGAGGAGTAAATGATTAGTAGCTTGCTCTTCTTCCAAAAGCCATTTCTCCATCTCTCTCTTTTTAGGAGTTGGTGTTCTTTGAAAGAACTTCTTTCTTCTGTGTGAAATGAAAATGTTAAAAAAATAATATAAATATTTTAAATGGATTAAGAAGCATTCAATAGCCTAGAGTATTTTGTATTTTGTGGTGTATCCAATATTTTGAATTATTTTTTTAAGTGTATGCAACACCATGAAATACTTTTCGGAACATCCAGCTCTCTAAAGTAGTTTTTTTAAGTATGTACAATACCCTAAAATATTTTTTGGTGTATCTAGTAACAAGATAAAAAAAATAGTTTAAGTGTTAGAGGCACTTGAAAAATATTTTAGGGTGTTAGACATGCCTGAAAAATATTTCATAATGCTAAATGCACTACAAAATACTTTAAGGTGTTAGATGCTTTTAACAAATATTTTGAGGTGCTGGATGTATTTATTCTAATTATGCTTGAGCAACGTAAAAATTTAGATCCTATTGGGAATCCAAATCTCAATCCTCCTTCCTAGACCAATAACGTAATATTTGTGTGTAAACCAAATTATAATTTAAAAGTGATTTATAATATACGAAGTAAATATGTTAGAAGAGTTTTGTCTCGACTAATGTAAAATTATTTTTTTTGGGTATCCCAAACAATCCAATGATATTGTAATGTTTACTCTTTTCTTGAACACAATAGATGATATTTTATTCAAACGAAGCCGAACCAGAGAAACCAATTTCTTCAAAACTTGAAAAAGCAAATTCTCTTTGGCAAAAAAAAAAAAAACAAATTCTCTGGCAAAAAGTGAAAAAGAAAGAAAGAAAGAAAAAAAAAAAAAAAAGAAAAAAAAAAAAAAAGGTTGAAAAGAAAAAAAAATGTTGAAAGCAAATTACAAGACTTCATTTTTAAGGAATTATGCTTACTACGGTCTGCGGGAGGAAATACTCCTGTAACTGATTATAGCTACCCAAACATGATCATATTAAAATAACATTACAAAAAAAATGATGATATTGAAATATATGGTGATTACTATGGGAAGGCTAATTTTCATTTCTAAAGATTGTAAGGAGTTGAAGCAAGCTAGATCATATATTGTTCCACTTCTCTTTTTTTTATTTCAAATTAAATACTCTCAGTGGTCTTTTCTATTAAATCATATTAACTACTTTTCTTAAGGATTAAGGAAACTAATTAAAATTAACTAAATATTAAAAAAATTCACAACTTTTTAAATTTAACCTTTAATAGTTATAGCTTAAAAACCCACCTTCTCATCGATAATCAACAAGACAAAGAATTTTCTTAAAACTGGAATAAAGTGAAGGTTGATCGCTTACGTTCATTTGAGAAGAAAATCAATTTCAATAGATGCATGAATATTTTTTTTGTACCAAAATAAGGATTAAGGAAATTAATTAAAATTAGCTAAATGTTAAGATTTTTTACAACTTTTAAAATTTAACCTTCAATGGTTAAAGTTTATTGGGAGAAAGAACGAAAAAGCCAGGCCTCATCAATAATAAACAAAGGATTTTCTTAAAAGCAGAATAAAGTAAAGATTGATCTCTTGAGATCATTTGAAAAAAAAAAATCATTTTCAATTGATGCATGGATATTTTTACTGTACCAATTAATTCTGGTGTGATGTGAGGTTGTGTTGAACGTGGATTTCATTGGAGTTTGTTTGTATTTGAATGAAACTTTTCTATCAATGGTTCCTGAAGTGACTTTATCGATAACATGCGTCGTGTGTTATATAATTGGGGTATTTCATAATGGGTGCTTCTCTGACAAGATCCAAGGCTAGTATACGCAGTATTGACGTCTTGTTAAGGCATGCTTTTGAATTCTCTTCTTTGTTGTTGTTGTTTTTCTGGAAAAAAAAAAAAATCACACGTGCGCTTTTTCTTCCTTTTCTCACAAGAAGGGCTTCACAGATCACACACACACCCAACCGTAAGTTTGAACCTGCGAGTTACTCACAAGTGATAAATAATTTGTAAATATTTTGTAAGTAGTTTTTGTTCTCTTCATGTATTTTTTAAGACAATGTAAGAGGGATCAAGATCATTTGATAAGAAATTTAGTTTCAATGAGTCAGGGTGTGTTTACATTGGTAGTGACAAAATTGACTTTTATTCTATCTGACTTTTACAAAAGTCAATTAGAGTAAGAGTTAATTAGTGTAAAATGATTTATATTTGGATAGTCAGTTTGAAAAGTTAAAACCTATTTAAATAAATAATGAAAAAATAAGTTTAGATATAAAATAATAGAAAAGGGACATAAGTTTTATAATATACTACTCTAGTTCTTAATATAAGACTCAGTTAACTAATTTGGAAAAGGCTAATGAAGTTATATAAATTACTTTAAAATATTTATATTTGCCGCTTTTCTTCAAATTAATTTATTTGACTTATAAACTAATGTGTAATCTAAATATCTAATGATACACATAAGTATTTTAGAGATATCATGTAACATATAATATAATTAAGTAATTGATTTAGCTTCTTTAATCTATTCAAGTTTGTCTTTTCGGGTCTTATATTAAGAAGCAAAGATAATATATGACATGTATACAAGTTGATAAATTTTAGAAAAATAATTAATTAAATTTTATTAGTTAATTTTTTTTATCTTAGAAAAAAAATCAAATTATTAGATCAAGATAGAACTTATTTAAATACTCTTATGTTTTTTTTCATCTTTATTCCTTCTTTCTCCACGTTACAAACTCTAAAAGCCAGAAATCCTAGCGTTATGACGCACTTAGCTTTTTGTCCAGGAGTTAGTTTGAAAAGTAGCCTACCTAAACAAACTTTTATCACCAAGTGACTCACCAACGTGCATTCTCCAGTTTCTTAGGCACGTTATCTTTCCAAAACAAAGATCCAAACGAGCACTAAATGATTAGTAGGTTGGGCTTCTTTCGAGAGCCACTTCTCCATCTCTCTCTTTTCAGAAGTCAGTGTTCTTTAAAAGAATTTTTTTTTCCTGTGTGAAATGAAAATATTAAAAAATAATATAAATTCTTTAAATGGATTATAAAGCACTCAGTATCTTGGAGTATTTTATATTTTGTGGTATATCCAATATTTTGAATTATTTTTTTTAAATGTATCCAGTACCATGAAATACTTTTCGGAGCATCGAGCTCTCTAAAGAATTTTTTTTAGATATATCCAGCACTTTAAAATATTTTTTGGTGTATCTAGCAATAAGGTAAAAAAATACTTTAAGTGCCTGTTTGGTTTACTGAATCCTTGGAAATGTAAGGGAATGTAATACAATGTAATAAAATATAATGATGATTATATGAGTTTGTTTGGTACATCATTAAAGAAAGGTGATGCATAGACATAAAAAAATGTTTGCTTATATTACAAAGAATATGGGAATAGGTAAAAATAGTGCGTCAAAAGAAAAAATTACCCTTATTTACATATACATAAATTTATCTAATGATTTAAGTTGTTTATTTTTTCTCCAAATATATATAATAACCCTAACCACATATATAATAATAAGTTCAACCCAAAAAAAGAGAGTATATAGTACATAAATAAATATAATAATATATATGTATGCTTTCCCATTATCAGATTCTCCCTTGCAACTATATATATATATATATATATATATATATATATATATATAGCACCAAATGTGCATCAACCATGCAACTAAAGTTTAGTAGCAATATTTAGCAGCGTCTGGGATTGCCAATGATTCATCAAAACTTCCATGAAAGCAAAGCAAAAGGGCCTCCGAAAAATGGAATTTTTAGAAAGAAAAAGATGTGACCTTCAATGTAAAAGAAATATGGCAGTGTTAATAAATGAAATATTAGTCTGGCAACAGAAATAATAGCAGCAACAACAGAATTCTTCGAAGCCGACCCAGAAAAACTAATTTCTTCAAAACTTGAAAGAGCAAATTCTCTTTGGCCAAAAAAATAATGAAAAAGCAAATTCTCCTGCAAAAAGGGGCAAAAAAAAAGATAAAAAAAAGAAAAAGATAAAAAGGTTAGAAAGAAAAAAAAAAGTTGGAAGCAAATTACAAGACTTCATTTTTAAGGAATCATGATTACTACCTTCTTCTGCGGGAGGAAATACTGCTTTTTTTAAACATTGTAAGGAGTTGAAGCAAGTCGGATTATATATTGTTCCACTTCTCTCTTTTTTTTTAATTATTTCAAAATTAATTACTCTCTCCAGTCTTTTCTATTAAATCATATTAACCACATTTTTAAGGATTAAGGAAATTAATTAAAATTAACTGAATATTAAAAAATTTGCAACTTTTTCAACTTAACCTTTAATAGTTATAGCTTGAAAAGGCACCTTCTCGTCAATAATCAAGAAGACAAAAGATTTCCTTAAAACTAGAATAAAGTGCAGGTTGATCTTTTAAGTTCATTTGAAAAGAAAATCAATTTCAATTGATGCATGAATATTTTTACTGTATCAAAATAAGAGTAAACTGCTCTTTACTCTTCTACAAAATGAAACATGACGTGTTTACAACATTTAGTTGTCCAGTTTTCTTGAAAGGTTGAAAGGTTTCAGTATGATACTTACAGAATTATTCACATCTAGATGCCTTTTCTGAGAATAAATTATTATTTACTTTATAATATGTAGCATAGTATTTTTTTTGGATACAAAGTATAATGTATTTTCAATATTTAATATATACGGTCTAATGGGGTTTATGAATATAAGCCCAAGTATGGTACCGCTTATTGAAACAAGGCAAGGCCTATGAATTAAGGCAGCTCCAAGCAACCCAATAATAAAATTTGTAATTCTGGAGGGAGAATTACAATGAATTCTCCATGATTGGTAAGTCCCAATAATAAGTGAGTAGTTATTATTTATTATTCTGAAATTTATTGTTGCAAGTTGCTCTGTTATTAATAAAATTTTAAGTAAATATGTTTTTATTTAGAACTTTATAATGATTCTCCAACTCTTAATGTTGCAATCCGATCCGGTCCAGTCAAATGAGTACATGAAAAAAATGTAACCAATGGTATTATGATTTACTCCTTAAATAATGCGGTTGGTTTTCTGGCTCATGTTTGCATAAAACACTCTAATGAATTTAATATTACCATATGCTGCGTTCATACGTATAGGATGTGTTCTGGTGAGGTTTTCTTTTGAATTTAGGGTCTAATTTTTAAAACAAAATGTAAGATAGTCTTCTCACTAATATAATTATGGCTATATTAATAAATTTCTAAAAAAATTATCAGAAACACGATAATGGGTGATTTTTATGTCTTCTAATATCGGCGATCACAACTTAAAAAATAAGGACGCGTATTTATTTTAATTATATAGTTTAAAAATTAGATATAAATATGTTAAAAGATTTATGTTATATACTAATTATATATAGGAAAATACTTAGATTAAATCTCCTATGTCCAATTATATCATGTTTTTCAATTACATATAGTCATATATGACACATGACACATATCCATATGTGATAAGAGAACTTGATATAATTATATATATATATATATATATCATAATTTACTTTATGTTTTAGGCGATTTTATTTTTTTCAATTATTGTAATTACTGGAGAAGAGCTAAAGAGGAGAAGATGGGCAGAAAGGCTTTAACAAAAAATCTCAACTTAGCAACGAAGGCAAGAACTTTTTGACTTCCAAAGGATTGCAAGCATTTACCTTAGCAATGAAGGAGGAGTCGCAAAGCATTGGTTATATCATCAGTTTCCAATAATTGAAGAGCCCTTGTTCATAACCATAACCTCCATAACGAGAGCCACTCTCCAGTACAGGTACGATATATCTTCTTGCATGCTTTATATACACATATATATATATATTTCAAATTCAAATTCAAATTCAAATACGTTACGTCCCGTTACAGTTTCTGAAACGTTTGCTGGATTTGGTGGGTTAATAATATTGCTCCCATGGCTTCAACTGCTATTCCGGAACAAATTTCGTTGAGAGTTGTTGTGGACAAAGAGCAAAACAGAGTGCTCTTTGCCGAAGCAGAGAAGGATTTTGTGGATATTCTTTTAAGCTTCTTGACACTGCCACTGGGAACTATTGCTAGACTCGTAAGTAGGGATTCAAACACGAAGCCTTGCCGATTCGGATGCATAAGCTCGCTGTATGAAAGTGTGGGGAATCTGGACCCCAAGTATTTGAATTTGGAGACTTGCAAGCAAATGCTGCTTCAGCCAAGGAACTCCATGGAACGTTATAATCAAAACCTCAAACTCAACATTGATGACACTGAGCCAACCAAGTATTATGCTTGTGAACGTTGTCTTATTGTAGAAGTTGGTTCTCTGGTGACCACTTCCAAGAATATGAAATGCAAATGTGGGCGGGATTTTACGATCCTTTTGAACCCTTGCGAATCGCTCTTATGCAGTCCTCTGTTAAGTGGATCCGATAAAAACGCGAGTGGTGATGCTGGAGGTAATAATTGCAATGCATTTTATATTTTTTGTTATCCTTATTAAACAAACCATATTTGATTCAATTATTAATATTTTTCTTTCAGACCTTGTCCAAAATGCAGATAATACATGGGAAGGCTATGTAAAGGAGACTGCATCTTTTATTATTTCTGACGATCTATCTGTAACTCCTGCTACTCTCAATACAACATTGTGTCTGCTAAAGAATCTTCGCTCTGAATGTCCACCGGAGGAATCCACTATGGTTCTTAGTTCAAATGAGGTTGAGTTCTGGAAACATTAATTATGTCTTATTTTCTTTATATCACATCACCTCATGTTTTAATTTATTATGTTTTCGAAGATTTTGGACCTACTCAAGTCCTTGTTGATCTCCAAGACGGCACTTACAGATTCATTGTTAAGGAAGGAGCACAACCTTGTGCATTCCGAAACCTCGTTCAAGATGACTGATGAGAGACAAGGCAGAGAGAGCATTGGGACGACGAAGATTAAGGTATTGATGTCAAAATCGAAGTCCAAGATATTGTTTGCTGAAGTTGAGGAAGATTTCGTAGACCAGCTTTTTTAGTTTCTTGACATTCCCAATAGGAGCTGTGGAGAGAGTTTTAGAAGGAAACTCTGGGTTGGTGTGTGTCAATAATTTATATAATAGTTTGAGCAACTTTGATTCAACCAGGCATTTGAAGTCGGAGAAGATGAACAATATGTTCGCTAGCCTGAAGGTACCTATCGATGAAATGAAGTATCCGTCAAAGTTAAGTTGTTGTCGCAAGGGTGGTTCATTTTATTTGACTGCCGATGCAAATTGTATAGTCACCCTTTGTGAGAGAAGTAAGAATGTGCGATCCTAAGTCTACAACAGCGGAGGAAAAATCAGGCAAAGGATATGCCAAGGGTGGAACCACGTTCATGGTTGCCGACGACTTGTCTGTGAAACCTTTATCATCTCGCGCTGTTTTATCATCTTTACTAACTGAATTCAAGGTGCCTTACCATGACTTGGAGCAAAGAACAATCTGCATTGGCGTACAAGAGGTGCGTATCTTCTAACCTTTAGAAAGACAAATTAAAGGAGATGCAAATTTTGTTTAGGTCGAAAAAACAAGAAGTTTAATGGTTTGGGGTTTTCTTTTGTTATTTTCTTTCCTTTTACTGTGAATATGATCAGATTTATTTGCATGCTTGCCGCAATCTTTTTTTGCCTTCTGTATCAGACTCATGCATACATACAAATGCAGGTTGTGAGCATCCTTAACGCTTCCATGGTTTCAACATCAGCTTTGACAATTGGCCTGAAGGAATTTTTAGCGAACAATATTAAAGAAGAAGATGAAACAAAGACGGAAAGCAGAAACATAACCGTTGGCTAAATAGAAGCCGGAGAGCAACGTCCTTCAATTTCTTGACTCTTTTTCAGACTTTTGCCTTGTTGTTTTGTTTTGAAAAGTGTGATGGCTTGTGATTGAATCAATAATATATTATATAACGGTGGTTTACTGCTCTTTAACAAGTCCTCTTAGCAAAAATCAGCAAGTCCTCTTCTCATATCCAAGTAATTAGCCCAGATAAATTTATACATCTAATTATCATTCGAATACGCTACAATAGTGTATATTTAAAATGAGACGAAAATAAAGTGTACGATGGTAGTGAATTAAGTATGGATTATCTACATGGTCAACTTAATTGAATTGTGCATATTGTCCATCTATGGTGCAAATTGACGACGTAGCGGTGTGTGTATGTGGCTGCAGTTGAGATGCTTGAGGTTGTGCACTGTAAAGGGACACAAATGATTATTTTTATATAAGATTAATTGAAATCCATATTTATTTTGTTAACTTTCGAGCATGCTAAAAAGAAATTTGAAATATTTTATTTTTATATTATGTATAAAATTAAAAAATGATAACACTCACATAATTGAAATTGAATTGAAATATTTTTATGTCGCAAAATAATTATTGTTTTGGAATTTTAAAAAAATAAATTTCTCTTTAAAACTAAATTAAAGAGTTAATTATTTTTGTACAAATTCTCTTCATAACAACTCTTGATTTAAAGGGGAGATGGAGAACAACAAGAAGATAATTACAGATTTAATATGATAATATTTTAACTAGACGTAATCTGAAAACTTTTAATAATCTAAACTATTTAATAATTTTTATATAATTTTAATTTTAATATTAAACTATAATTAGGGAATATGACAGAAAAATGACAAATGAATTTCATAATGCCAAAAACATCTCCTGAATTTGAGAAATCTCAATTTAGTTATAAGAGACTAATTTGGCATTTATAAGTTTACTGAAATGACCATATAGTCCTTCATTTTATTTATTGTTTTTAAAATTCCAAAGCTCCCATTGACCGGCTAGTCGTTAGAGCTCTAGTGGTGGCAGTCACCGGCGAGCTCCGAGAGACTCCGAGGCGCAAACAATTGGTCGCTGGAGCAAGCTGAGTGTAATTGAAAACAATTTTTTTAAAAAAATTTTTACAACTTCAGTATAAGGCTAACAACTTTTGTAACACTATTAATAATTTCAATATAACAGTTAACAATAGATTTCTAGAAAATTCAACAAGCTCTGGTGAGCGGAAACAATTTTTTTGAAAATTTTTATAATTTCACTATAATGGTTAACAAATTTGTAATGCTATTAAAATTTTAATATAGCAGTTAAAAACAGGTTTTCCGGGAAATTCAATAATTGGTTCCGGCAGTTAGAAACAATTTGTTTGAAAATTTTCACAACTTAGTATAACGATTAATAGCTTTTGTAACGCTATTAACAACAGGTTTTTCAAGAAATTCAAAAAGTAGCATTTTTGCAATTTTAGTAATGTTAACAAGTTTGTAACTTTATTAACAACTTCAATATAGTGTTTAATAACATGTTTTCTTAAAAATAAAAAAAGGTATTTTTACAACTTTAGCAATTACCTTTTTGTTTTTTTTTTTATTTTTTACAACTTTAGTATACGGTTAACAACTTTGTAATGTTATTAACAATTCAATAGAGTACTTAGCAACAAGTTTCTGAAAAAATTTAAAAAGTAGCATTTTTACAATTTTAGTAATATCATCAACAATTTCCGTAACTCTATTAGCAATTTTGGTATAGTATTTAACAACAGGTTTTCTTAAAAATTAAAAAAAAAAAGGCTTTTTATGGCTTAACAACTACTTCTTTTTTTTGAAAATTTTTATATCTTCAATATAATGGTTAACAACTTTTGTAACGCTATTAATAACTTTGATATAACAGTTAATAACAGGTTTTTCAGGGAATTCAAAAAGTGATATTTTTACAACTTCAGTAATGCTATTAACAAACTCAAAAACCTATGTTAACCGCTACACTGAAGTTGTTAATAGTGTTACAAAAGTTGTTAACCGTTATACTGAAATTGTAAAAAATTTTAAAAAAATTGCTTCCCTCTGTCGGAGCTCGTACAACCAATTATTGAATTTTTCGAAAAATCTGTTGTTAACTGTTATACTGAAATTGTTAATAGCATTACAAAAGTTGTTAATCATTATACTGAAGTTGTAAAAATTTTCAAAAAAAAATTTTCAGCCATCGGAGGTTGTTGAATTTCCCAGAAAACCTGTTGTTAACTATTATATTGAAGTTGCTAATAGTGTTACAAAACTTGTTAAGTGTTACATTAAAGTTGTAAAAAAATTTTAAAAAATTATTTCCGACTACCGGAGCTCTGGTGAGCAATTGTTGGCTGGTCACCGGAGAGCTCTGGGGACCAATTGTCAACCAGTCACTGGAGCTCCAGTGAGCAGCCGGCCAGTGGGATTTTAGTATTTTAAAAACAATAAATAAAATGAAAGGTAATATGGTCATTTCAGCAAACTTATAAATGTCAATTAGTCTTTTGTGACGAAATTAGAATTTCTCAAATTCAGGATGTATTTTTGGCATTATGAAGTTTATTGTTATTTTTTTTTGTCATTTTCCCCTATAGTTATTCTAAAAATGAATAGTTGAGAGTTGCGCGTTAGGCGGAGCCAATCTGAATTCCAAAAAGCGTAGCCTCATTGGCAAATTAAATTTCTTCGTTCTCAATGACAGTGCAGATTAATGGCATTTGTTTGGGACAAAAAGGATTAGCCCAATCGAAAGTGGAACAACAAATTAAATATTCTTCTGCCTATTATTCCTGCAAGTGTCCAGCGTGGTTGTGCTTATGCAAGACAGCAACGGTTGAGAATTATAAAGTCTTCTGCTACTCAGCTCTTCTTTTCGGCCTCTCTTGTTGAGTGGGTTTCTATGAATCTGAAACAGGATTTTGCTTCTAACAGGAACACTGAAGGGACTCTCACCTGGGGAGTTGCAATTGGCGAAATGAATTCATTTATCAAGATAATTTTCAGAAACCTGTTGAACCAGCCATTATGATTTTAAATACCCGTCATTACGAGGAAAGATCATTTACAGTGTGATGTTAGTACTGCTATCTCTCATGCTAAGCAGTGGATTCCACCTCCTCCAAATACTGCAAAATTAAATGTCCATGGGGCTAAATCTGAAATTTCAGAGTCTATTGCTTGTGGTGGTGTTTTTAGAGATTATCGAGGTAATTGGATTGCTGGATTCTCAAATTATCTTGGGAATTATAGTGCCCATGAAGTAGAAGAATGGGCAATGCTTAACGGACTCAAAAACATTATAGTAGAATCTAGCAGCAAGAAACTCACTAATGCACTATTAGGTGTGTTTAGTTGAAAGGGAGGGGAGGAGAGGGGAGGGCAAATGAGCCCTTTCCCTCATTCGGTTAGAAATTTTGGAAAGGAGGGATCCCTCCCTCCCTTCCTCCTACCCTGATTTTGGCTTCTCCTAAATTGGGAGTTTTTGAAAAGAAGCTAAAATATTAGACTGTTTTGCTCTCATGCTTTGTGCATATTTTATTAACCTTATAAAATATATTATTATAGTATTTATTTAGACAAAATATATTATCATAAGAAAAATATAAAAATAAATATTGTTATAATTAAAATATATTATAATAAAAACTAATTTAAAAGAAAAACTGGAATTTTTAGAAAGAAAAAGATGTGACCTTCAATGTAAAAGAAATATGGCAGTGTTAATAAATGAAATATTAGTCTGGCAACAGAAATAATAGCAGCAACAACAGAATTCTTCGAAGCCAACCCAGAAAAACTAATTTCTTCAAAACTTGAAAGAGCAAATTCTCTTTGGCCAAAAAAATAATGAAAAAAGCAAATTCTCCTCGCAAAAGGGGCAAAAAAGAAAAAAAAAGGAAAAAGATAAAAAGGTTAGAAAGAAAAAAAAAGTTGAAAGCAATTACAGACTTCATTTTTAAGGAATCATGATTACCACCGTCTGCGGGAGGAAATACTGCTATGACTGATTATAGCTGCCCAAACATGATCATATTAAAATAAAACTATAAAAAAGATTATATTGAAATATATGGTGATTACTATGGAAGGCTAATTTTCATTTCTAAACATCATAAGGAGTTGAAGCAAGTCGGATCATATATTGTTCCACTTCTCTTTTTTTTTTTTAATTATTTCAAAATTAATTACTCTCTCCAGTCTTTTCTATTAAATCATATTAACTACTTTTTTAAGGATTAAGGAAATTAATTAAATTAACTGAATATTAAAAATTTGCAACTTTTTAAACTTACCTTTAATAGTTATAGCTTGAAAAGGCACCTTCTCGTCAATAATCAAGAAGACAAAGGATTTCCTTAAAACTAGAATAAAGTGAGGTTGATCTTTAAGTTCATTTGAAAAGAAACATCAATTTCAATTGATGCATGAATATTTTTACTGTATCAAAATAAGAGTAAACTGCTCTTTACTCTTCCACAAAATGAAACATGACGTGTTTACAACATTTAGTTGTCCAGTTGTCTTGAAAGGTTGAAAGGTTTTGGTGCAATACTTACAGAATTATTCACATCTAGATGCCTTTTCTGAGAATAAATTATTATTTACTTTATAATATGTAGTATAGTATTTTTTTTTGGATACAAAGTATAATGTATTTTCAATATTTAATATATACGGTCTAATGGGGTTTATGAATATAAGCCCAAGTATGGTACCGCTTATTGAAACAAGGCAAGGCCTATGAATTAAGGCAGCTCCAAGCAACCCAATAATAAAATTTGTAATTCTGGAGGGAGAATTACAATGAATTCTCCGATGATTGGTAAGTCCCAATAATAAGTGAGTAGTTATTATTTATTATTCTGAAATTTGTTGTTGCAAGTTGCTCTGTTATTAATAAAATTTTTAAGTAAATATGTTTTTTATTTAGAACTTTATAATGATTCTCCCAACTCTTAATGTTGCAATCCGATCCGGTCCAGTCAGATGAGTATATGAAAAAAATGTAACCAATGGTATTATGATTTACTGCTTAAATAATGCGTTGTTTTCATGCTTCATGTGGCACAGTGGATCCGGGACTAACAAGGTTGGTTTCTGGCTCATGTTTGCATAAAACACTCTAATGAATTTAATTATTACCATATGTTGCGTTCATACGTATAGGATATGTTCTGGTGAGGTTTTCTTTTGAATTTAGGGTCTAATTTTTAAAACAAAATGTAAGATAGTCTTCTCACTAATATAATTATGGCTATATTAATAAATTTCTAAAAAATTATCAGAAACACGATAATGGGTGATTTTTATGTCTTCTAATATCGGCGATCACAACTTAAAAAATAAAGACGCGTATTTATTTTAATTATATAGTTTAAAAATTAGATATAAATATGTTAAAGATTTATGTTATATACTAATTATATATAGGAAAATACTTAGATTAAATCTCCTATGTCCAATTATATCATTTTTTCAATTACATATAGTCATATATGACACATGACACATATCCATATGTGATAAGAGAACTTGATATAATTATATATATATATATATATATCATAATTTACTTTATGTTTTAGGCGATTTTATTTTTCTTCAATTATTGTAATTACTGGAGAAGAGCTAAAGAGGAGAAGATGGGCAGAAAGGCTTTAACAAAAAATCTCAACTTAGCAACGAAGGCAAGAACTTTTTGACTTCCAAAGGATTGCAAGCATTTACCTTAGCAATGAAGGAGGAGTCGCAAAGCATTGGTCATATCATCAGTTTCCAATAATTGAAGAGCCCTTGTTCATAACCATAACCTCCATAACGAGAGCCACTCTCCAGTACAGGTACGATATATCTTCTTGCATGCTTTATATATATATATATATATATATATTTCAATTCAAATTCAAATTCAAATACGTTACGTCCCCGTTACAGTTTCTGAAACGTTTGCTGGATTTGGTGGGTTAATAATATTGCTCCCATGGCTTCAACTGCTATTCCGGAACAAATTTCGTTGAGAGTTGTTGTGGACAAAGAGCAAAACACAGTGCTCTTTGCCGAAGCAGAGAAGGATTTTGTGGATATTCTTTTAAGCTTCTTGACACTGCCACTGGGAACTATTGCTAGACTCGTAAGTAGGGATTCAAACACGAAGCCTTGCCGATTCGGATGCATAAGCTCGCTGTATGAAAGTGTGGGGAATCTGGACCCCAAGTATTTGAATTTGGAGACTGCAAGCAAATGCTGCTTCAGCCAAGGAACTCCATGGAACGTTATAATCAAAACCTCAAACTCAACATTGATGACACTGAGCCAACCAAGTATTATGCTTGTGAACGTTGTCTTTTTCAAGGACCTTCTCTGGTGACCACTTCCAAGAATATGAAATGCAAATGTGGGCGGGATTTTACGTTCCTTCTGAACGCTTGCGGATCGCTCTTATGCAGTCCTGTGGTTAGTGGATCCGATAAAAACCGGGTGATAGTGATACTAGAGGTAATAATATCTTTTTGCAACCCATTTTATGTTTTTGGTCTATCCTTATTGAACAAACCATATGCTACGTTTGACTCGATTATTAATAATTTAATATTGCTTCATCTCCTACCTGTCCAAAATGCAGACGATACATGGGAAGGCTATGTAAAGGAGACTGCATCTTTTATTATTTCCGATGATCTATCTGTAAACCCTGCTGATTTGAGCACAATATTGTGTCTGCTAAAGAATCTATGCTCTAAAGATCCACCCCAGGAATCCACTGTGGTTCTTCGCTCAAAAGAGGTGAACTTCTGGAACCATTGATTATGTCATCACTATGAGTCTTAAATCCTTTATCTCTCATCATCTGATGATTTATTATGTTTTCGAAGATCTTGGACCTACTCAAGTGCTTGATAATCTCGAAGACGGCACTCACAGATTCATTGTTAAGGAAGGAGCACAGCCTTGTGAATTCCGAAACCTTTCTCAAGATAACTGAGAGACTAGGCAGAGAGAACACTAGGACGATGAAGATGAAGGTATTGATCAGAAAATCAAAGTTCAAGATATTGTTTGCTCAAGTTGAGGAAGATGTCATGGACCAGCTTCTTAGTTTCTTGACATTCCCAGTAGGAGCGCAGCAGTAGAAAGAGTTTTAGAAGGAAACTCTGGATTGGAATGCGTCGACAAATTATATAACAGTTTGTTCAATTTTGATTCAACGGGAGACTTGAAGTCAGAGAAGTTGAAAAATGTGTTCGCCAACCTCATGATAGCCCCATTCTTTAATGTTAATAACCAGATGTTACCTATTGATGAACTAAAGTGTCCGTCTCGGTTAAATTGTTGTTCTAACACTACGCTGTTGGTCCATATTATTTGACTGCTGATACTAGTTTGTATGTCCGTGGTGTGAGAAGAGTAAGAATGTGCGACCCTAAGTCCCCAATAACGGAGGACAAATCAGGCAGTGGATATGCAAAGAGTGGAACCAAGTTCATGGTTGCTGATGACTTGTCTGTGAAACCTTTATCATGTCATGATGTTTTATCACCTTTGACTGAATTCAAGGTGCCTTACCATGACTTGGAAGAAAGAACAATCTGCATTGGGGTACAAGAGGTACGTATCTTCTAACCTTTAAACAGACAAATTAAAAGACATGCAAATTTTGTTTGAAACCAAAAAACAAGAAGTCATATGGTTTGGGTTTGTTTTCCCTTGAATGTGATCAGATTTATTAGCATGCTTGCTGCAATTTTCTTTTGCCTTTTGCATCAGACTCATGCATACAAATGCAGGTTATGAGCATCCTTAAAGCTTCCATGATTTCAACATCAGCTTTGACAATTGGCCTGCAAGAATTTTTATCAAATAATGTTAAGATGAAGGGGAAACAAAGACGCAAAGCAAAAAAAAAAATAACTGTTGGCGAAATGGAAGCCTGCGAGCTACGTGACTAGTGCTTCGATTTCCTGATCCTCTTTCGTAATTCTACCTTGTTGTTTTGTTTTGAAGAAGTGTGATGGCTTCTGACTGAATAAATAATTACATAACGGTGGTTTGGTGCCCAACGTATTTGCTTTATCCAGTCGTATTTGCTTTATCTAGTGATTCTCCTTCGCTTTCCTATCAACTATAGAATTCGCAACCCCCTACTCCAGATGAAAAGAACTTCATAAAACAAGTGGATGATTTTTCCCCCTTTTAGGTGATGGGGAGCCATTTCGTTCTATGAATTTCATCCACGATCACATGGCTTAACTTTTCCACACGAGTGAAAATATATGGAGAAATCAAATCCCCTTTCCCCACTCCATAAGCTCTGCGCATTAATACTACTCAATACAAACCACAATGATTTTACAAAGTTTCAGGCTGAGACGAGTTTCTATTAGTATTTCTCGGGTGAAATTCCATTCCAATCTATAACGGTTTTCCAAGTTCCACTTTGGCTGCTGTGAACCCCACAACCTCCCCCCCCACCCAAAAAAAAAAAAAAAAAGCTTTATTGAGCAAATTATTCCAAGCAATTATAGTGATATCACTGCGCTGCCTTCCCTATTATAAAACTGCGTTGGTTTGTTGCCAACCAACTTACTAAGATACTGTTTGGTATGAAGCATGGAAAATGAGAGGTAGAGATTGTGATTGAGATTGGGATTGAAAAAATCTATTAGAAAAATTACTTGTTACATAGGATTGGACAAAACTATGTGTATGAGATTGGAAAAAACCCATAAACGGGAGATGGCATGGTATTCGCCAATCTCATCTTCATGAGTTTGTCTAATCTCACGTAACAAGTAATTATTTATACTAATACTTCTTTAATAATTTTTTTGAAGTTTAATCTTACTCTATTTCTTATTTTTAATGGTTTGTACCAAACAGAACCTAAGTGTGCTTGGCCATCACTTGGAGATGATTTATATTTGCAGAAAAGAGTACAAGGCATTGAATCTATTAGCAAATGCCCAGTCAATCTTTCCTAAACGGTATCTGCATGAGTTGAGCTTCTTCAATACATGCCCAGTCAATTCTTTCCTAAACGGTATCTGTATGAGTTGAGCTTCTTCAATACAATCTTTATAGGTCTCATGGTTGCATAATTACAAGACTCATTACCTACGTACGTACCTTGTCATTCAAAGAAAGATAGGCGCTGAAATCTCCAATAGTAACCTGATATTTCTGCTAATATTTTCAAGGTCCACCCACAACTGTTTTCTTCAGCATAAATACGGGACAAGCGGAAGTTCTCGTCACCGTTGACATCAGTGAAGAAGTTGGGCAGTTGAGAGATTCAAGTAATAGTCTAAGATTCATGGATTTAGGTGTTTGCCACCTTTAATAGTTATATGGCTTAATGAAAAAAACGAAAAGCCACCTTCTCATGAATAATCAACAAGACAAAGGATTTTTTTTAAAACTGGAATAAAGTGAAGATTGATCTCTCAAGATCATTTGAGAAGAAAAACTAATTTCGATTGGCGCGTGAATAATTTTACTGTACCAAAATGAGAGCAAACACTCTTCAGTCTCCAACAAAATGAAACATGATGTGTTTACAACGTATAATTGTTCTGAAAGGTTTTAGCACAATACCTATGAATTATTAACATCTAGTTGCCTTTCTGAGAATAAATTATTATTAGGATAAGATATTTAAATACCTTGGAGTATTTATGAATGAGCATCCAGCACCTAAAATTTTTTCTGACTCTTATATGCTCAAGAAGTTTTATTTCATATAATTTCTGTTCTAAACTACTATTCACCGTTAAGTTTAACCGTTAAGATACTAGGTCACATCGTGTAATTAACAATCAAATTTAACGGCTAATTAATTGTCAATGTATTTTTGTTACGAAAATAGACTTTTTGGGTATATAAGAGCAAAAACAATCCACATGCTGAATGTTTTTTCATAGATGCTTTCGAGGTATTTGAACACTTTATCCCATTATTGTTTACTTTATAATATGTGGCATAATATTTTCTGGCAGAAAAAAGAAAGTAGTAAAATATATGAAAAAATTCGATATTCAATATACACGGTCCAATGTTTTGGCCGAAAAAATACATACGGTCCAATGGGGTTCATATATTACTATACGCTGCGTTGATAGCCATAGGAGATATGTCGTGGCCGGAAAAAGGGTACATGATACGTGCAAGTGAGGCTTTCTTTTGAATTTAGGGGTTAATATAATCTTTAGTGTCATCAAATTTACCCTTATTTTGATTTTGGTCTCTCAAATTTCAAATTATAGGTTTTGATCCCATAATGACATAATGGTCCAGATTTTTATTAAATTATAGGAACTGATATTTTAAATGAAAAAAATTTAAGAGATCAAAATTTATAATTGAAATTTGAGAGACTAAAATCAAAATAAAGGTAAACTTAAGAGAAAAAATTGTAATAACCCTTTTTGAAAACAAAAATGTAAGATGATGTTCTCACTAATATGAATTATCGTTATATTAATAAAATTCTAAACAGATATGACATGGGTGATTTTTAAGTCTTGTAATATCCGCGAGCACAACTTAAAAAATGATTTATATTTTAAAAATTAAATATAATATGTGACGAAAGATTTATATTATACGTATCATAGTATCATAATTTAATTTCATGTTTTAGGTAGTTTTATTTTTCATGGATTATTATAAGTGTATACTTGACTTGATTGCAGCCGCTAAAAATTCTGAGACGAGCTAAACAGGCGAGATAGGCAGAAAAAAGCATTTAACAAAAAATCTTAACTTAGCAATGAAAGCTAGAACTTTTTTACTTCCAAAAGAGTGCAGGCATTTACTTAACGAGTAAGCCTGAATTGAAAGTTAAAGAAGAGGAGTCACAAAGCCTTGGTCATATCATTAGTTTCTAATAATTCAGGAGCCCTTGTTCATAACCATAACCTCGATAGCGATGTGTGTATATTTATCAAATTCAAATTCAAATAGGTTACGTCGTCGTTACAGTTTTCTGAAACATTTGCTGGATTTGGTGGGTTAATAATATTGCTCCCATGGCTTCAACTGCTATACGCCGGAAACAAATTTCATTGAGAGTTGTTGTGGATAAGGAGCAAAACAGAGTGCTCTATGCTGAAGCAGAGAAGGATTTTGTGGATACTCTTTTAAGCTTCTTGACACTGCCACTGGGAACCATTGCTAGACTTGTGGTAAGGATTCAAACAACGAAGCCTTGTCGATTCGGATGCATAAGCTCGCTGTATGAAAGTGTGGGAAATCTGGACCCCAAGTATTTGAATTCAGAGACATGCAAGCAAATGCTGCTTCAGCCAAGGAACTCCATGGAACGTTATAATCAAAACCTCAAACTCAACATTGATGACACTGAGCCAACCAAGTATTATGCTTGTGCATATTGTCATTTTGGAGAAGGTGGTTCTCTGGTGAGCACTTCCGAGAATATGAAATGCAAATGTGGGCGGGATTCTAGGTTCCCTCTGAACCGTTGCAAATCGCTCTTATGCAGTCCTCTGTTAAGTGGATCCGATAAAAACGCGAGTGGCGATGCTGGAGGTAATAATTGCAATGCATTTTATATTTTTTGTCATCCTTATTAAACAAACCATATTTGATTAGATTATTAATATTTTTCTTTTAGACCTTGTCCAAAATGCAGATAATACATGGGAAGGCTATGTAAAGGAGACTGCATCTTTTATAATTTCTGATGATCTATCTGTAACTCCTGCTAATTTCAACACAACATTGTGTCTGCTAAAGAATCTACGCTCTGAATGTCTACCGGAGGAATCCACTGTAGTTCTTAGTTCAAATGAGGTTGAGTTCTGAAACATTAACTATATCTTATTTTCTTTATATCACATCACCTAATGCTTTAATTTATTATGTTTTCGAAGATTTTGGACCTACTCAAGTACTTGTTGATCTCCAAGACGGCACTCACAGATTCATTGTTAAGAAAGGAGCACAGCCTTATGTATTCCGATACCTCGTTCAAGATAACTGATGAGAGACAAGACAGAGAGAGCACTGGGACGATGAAGATTAAGTATTGATGTCAAAATCGAAGTCCAAGATATTGTTTGCTCAGGTTGAGGAAGATTTCATGGACCAGCTTCTTAGTTTCTTGACTTTCCCATTGGGAGCAGTAGAAAGAGTTTTAGAAGGAAACTCTGGGGCGGTGTGTGTCGACAACTATATAACAGTTTGTTCAATTTTGATTCAACCGTAGACTTGACGTCAGAGAATCTCAAAACATGTTCGCCAACCTCATGATAGCCCCATATTTTAATGTCGATAACCAGATGTACCTATCGATGAACTAAGTATCCGTCTGAGTTAAGTGTCTTTTCTAACGAGCATGCTATGATCGATATTATTTGACTGCTGATGCAAGTTTGTATCTCCGTGTTGTGAGAAGAGTAAGAATGTGTGACCCTAAGCCTCCAATAGCGGAGGGGAAATCAGCAATGGATATGCAAAGAGCAGAACCAAGTTCATGGTTGCCGATGACCTGTCTGTGAAACCCTTTTCATCTCACCATGTTCTATCATCCTTATTAACTGAATTGAAGGTGCCTCACCATGACTTGGAAGAAAGAACAATCCGCATTGGGGTACAAGAGGTACGTATCTTCTAACCTTTAGACACAACAAATGAGATGCCAATTCTGTTTGGAACGACTGAGATGCAAATTCTGTTTGGAACGAAAAAAAACAGAAATTTATATGGTTTGGGTTTGTTTTCCCTTGAATATGATCAAATTTATTTGCATACAAATGCAGGCTGTGAGCATCCTTAAAGCTTCCATGGTTTCAACATCAGCTTTGACAATTGGCCTGAAGGAATTTTTATCAAATAATATTAAAGAAGAGGGCGAAACAAAGACGCGAAGCATGGCTAGTGCTTCAATTTCTCTCGATTCTCTCTTTGTACTTCTGTCTGTCTTCTTTGTTTTGAAGAGTGTGATGGCTTTATGGTAGAAAAATAATTATATAATGGTGGTTTGGTGCTCACGTATTGCTTTATCTAGTAACTAGATGGTGCTGTCCCGTGCGTTGCACGGGGAGCATTACTTTTTTTAAATGAGAACCTCACCTAAAATAATGTCTCTTTACACTTAAAAAAAAAAA